GGACTTCTGCAAGCAAAGGCATCCTGCCGTCCTCTAAACACCAACCCAGCCACTTCTGCAGGGCCAGGAGCTCTGGGCAGGTGACACTAATGAGTTCCACAGGCCCTTATCAGCTATGCAGTTCTGCAGAAGGGCTGCTGCACCCACAGCCAGGTAAACATCCGAGCAGGAAACATAAAGCCATAAAACCTTCACCTCCCTATAAAGCCCAGCAGCTTTCCCCAGCTGCCTCCCTCTTCCCAGCCAACCTTAGAACAAGACCCCAGCACAATGCTGAGATTTGCAGCCACGGGCACAAGAGCTGGACTGCATGGCAGAGGAACTGCAGTCATAGGTGTGCAGGATGGGGACCAGCCAAGGCTTTCCAGGCTGAGGAGGAAAGCCAGCCCAACCCTAAATCCTATCCCATTCACCACACCCCGTGTTTCCTTTGGCAAAGGGCTCCACTCTGGGAGTAGAGGGGTGCCCGGAAAGCCCCAGCTCTCCTCATGTCTCAGAAAAATAACAAAATAACCCGCAGCCACAGTCTTTTCCACCTGGGGAAGAGGCTGGAGCCCAGCCCAGGGCAGTCACTTGTGCCACTCAGCTGAGCCCTGGCATGCACCGGAGGGAGGACAGTCTCCACCCATCCCATCAAGGAATGCCATTAGCAGGGTGTCCCGTACCAGCAGGGCTCTCTCTCACCTCTGTTTCTGGGATGCCTTTGCTCAGCTGCTTCCTACAAGGGTGACTGGTGACAGGGTAGGGACATCAGCACCAAAGCTAAACCTGATATCTTCTCACACCACAGGATTCAGTCCCATGCTTGATTTTGGACCATCAAGTCAAATTTCACCACTAAATCAAGGTTTAAGTTTATAAAGCTGGTTCAGAGGGCCATGCTTAAAAAGAAAACCAACACACTCAAACACCTAATTATGATCCAATTCTGTATTTTATATAAATTCAGTTTTTAAGATACTACAAATAGATAAAATACCAGACTAAGCAGGGATAAATTCACATAACAGTGGTCGAAATCATCAACAAGCTGATTGGGATTTCATCTTTTTAATGTATTTGCATAACTGGTCTGTCTTGAAGCCATTTTTTCATTGGAAAACTGGTTTTATAAGAAAATGTCCAGTTTTACAGACTCTGAGACACCCATCCTTAACGGGGCTGGGAGGTTTTTGACCTGACAAAAACAGCAAACATTTGCTCTGCCCATATTTTGGGTCAGATGTTTAAGATTGCTACCACAAACCATAAAAATCATCTCAATAACAAGGTTTATCAGACAGTTCCACGTACTCAGCTGGAAACAAAAAGCCTCAATGTTTATCAAAATCAAATGCAACCAAACAGGCAACAGCTCATGTTACCTGAGGAATGGAGGGGGATGGGGTCTGTCACTGGCACTGCTTTTCAGATAGCTCCACTTCATCAGCGTCTGCTTATACAACATGCTGCTGGCTTCCTCCAGCAGCTCCCAGCCTCAATGGGATTTAACTGGGAACTACCCTGTGTATAGATCAGCTCTAAAGAAACTATTATCGTGTATGTATTGTGTCCATTCACATCTCAGAAAGAACTTTTCTCAAATTCCACCCCACTGACTCACTGCAGAATATCACACTAAGAGCAGTAAAGACAAAGGCCTTTCCTACTCCTGTAGGGCAATCCAGCAGGCTTTGGCCCAGGGTTCATTACACTGATCAACACAAATTTGGTTTTTTTTTCTGACCAAAGATTGCAATAAAATGTCCACCAGAACCCTACAGTTTCAGAAAGAAATGTAAGCCAAAAACATCTCTGAAGCATCCATCCTAAAGAGACGGGAAACTCCACAAGAAAGTCTCACGAGCAGCACTTGTGAAATCCCCACTCTCAGCCCTCACCAGGAAGACCAGTCCAACACAATCAAGAAACCAGAAGTGTTCTCACAACAAGGTAACAAGGTGCTCGTGATGTATTTGAACCTGAAGCAGTTTTGACCACATATTTCAAATGGAAAGTGAGGTAGGGCAGTGACATAAGACAAGGTAAAAGCAGTTCTGGAAATGCCACAATCTTTCATCGGCTGCTCCTCTAAGGCACAACCAGACATTGGTACCATGCAGCCACCGTCAGCCAGAAGCCCTTGGCCAGGCTGCTCTAGTGGCTCCCACGCTCATGGCACCAGTGCTCCTCATCCATCTTGGACCCTGGACTGCAATTCCAAGCCTCAATGACTTCCTCCAGAGAACAACTCAAACGTTGCTGCCTCCCACCAACAAGGCTACATTCAAGTACAGCTGCTCCCTCGCTGACTGGGGAGCTTGAGAAGCCAAAAGCCACTAGCAAGAAGCTGAAGCACAATGGTGATGAGGGCCATAAATACCAAGATAAGCTCTAAAGCTTAACAGCACAAGGATGATGGTGCCAGAAGTCAAACATGAGCTCCTGGCAGGCAATGCAGGCTGAAATTAGGCACCTGTTTCAAAGAGAGCTGCAAGACACCCAGTTCAGGTCTATGCCTGGATGGATGTCTCTCCTGGCATCCCACCATGCCAGCACATTGAAAAGCACAGGGATCCCATCAGTGCATCACTAGGACAGGCTCCACTGGCTGCATGGGACGGCACTGACCCCATACACAGCACACCCAAATTGCAGTGCTCTGTGTCAGGATGCTGCTGCTCCCCCACGCCAAGGGCAGGCAGTCCAGCCCTGTGCACCCCTGCTTGCAGTGCTCCTCAAGAGCACATCTGTGCACCCACACACCTCCCACACAAAGCAAACACATCAGTGCTGAGGAGGGAGAGCTGCAACCTCCCATGCTCCCAGGGTAATGCCCTTATTACAGGTTACAGCCTCCCCACCCTCTCACTGGCCTCTGGTAACCCCCCCATCTCATAGCACAGTGGGACCAAGGCCCTCACAACCCCTGGCAGATGTCAGTCCTACGGCCAGTGCTCACCCCGTCCTGTGAGGGAAGAAGGGCTCCATGCACGGAAAGGCCTCTGGTGAAAACAAAAGTATCAAATAAAAAAGCAAGAATATCGAAGTTATAAAGGCCCCATAAAGTCATCACACGAGGAGGAACAGACTTTTTAGAACAGGTCAAAACTTGATCAGATTTTTTTTATTTTTACATGGTAAGGGGAAGACTAGCCAAGAATTTCACTCCTGAGCCGAGGAGAGAAATCCAGGAGCCTTATGAGCAAACCACAGGAAAGATTAATGACTTGAAGTCTGGGAGGGGAAATTAAAAGTATCAGAGGGGCCACAAGAGAAAGCCCTGATAAGAACTGCTAATTGTCAGCATTTACGTCACCACCATCAGAGAGGCTATTTTATTCCATTTTAGTCTCCAGAGTCACAATTTCTCATGAGGTGGTTATTTTTCCTGCTTTGCTGATCTATGCTCCTTGGTATGTGCCTATAAGCATTGACAAAGGCGACCAAGAAGAGGTAAGAGCAGGTAGGGCTTTAGACACACTTCTGCCTGAGAGTCTTTTGCTGGAAGGAAATGGCAATAATTACCATAACAATGAAGTAAATATCACTTCCCTTACAGTAAAGCTGCTTTCATGTCCCAAAAATGCTTTAGAAAAATGAGGTATTATTACTGTAATTGAAAGAGATTACACAGAAAACTAGTAACTCACCCCCTACCCCCGTGAGCACAATAGTACTTGTGAGCTTTGCCCTTCCTGCAGCTGACAGCTTCCCCCGTGGCACCTGGGCTCCTCCACGCATTGGGACCCTATGGCAGGAGATCCCATGGAGGCATTTATAAAAATTCACAAGTCTGACCATCCTGGTCTTCTCTGAGGACAGCTCACGTAAGTTCAAGTTCTGGCATATTCCACTTCCCGCAGCCCTTCCTCACCTGAGGCGGGCGGGCACTTCAGAATTGTGCAATGGTGGCAGACGCCAGAGCCCAAGGCTAACAGCAGCTCGCTGGATGCCTCTGTTTTAGCCGAGGGATTGCTGGAACGAGGAGCAATTCCTTCATTCCTTTTCCCATAGGGGAGGCCTGCAGCCAGCCCTGCCAGGAATCTGTGCAGTGCACTCCACGCAAACAGGAACAGGAGTTTGGGGTTCAGGGCCCCACACAGGAGCCCGTGGCTCTTGGGACACATGCAGGGACAGGATTTTAGGGCTCAGGGCCCTACACACCAGCCCGTGGCTCTGGGGACTCGTGCAGGGACAGGAGTTTAGGGCTCAGGGCCCCACACGCCAGCCCGTGGCTCTGGTGGCCCGTGCAGGGACAGGAGTTTGGGGTTCAGGGCCCCACACAGGAGTCTGCCCGTGGCTCTGGGGACCCGTGCAGGGACAGGAGTTTGGGGCTCAGGGCCCCACACAGGAGTCTGCCCGTGGCTCCGGTGGCCCGCAGGGCGCGGCGGGGCAGGGCCCAGCTCCCGGCCGGGCCGAGCACCTGTGGGTGCAGGTGGGCACAGGACAGGTCAGATGCAGCGAGCACCGGCATCTTACAGGCAAACGCTGGGGAGGAGGAGGGAAAAGCCATGTACAACGCTAAAACTGTTTCGATACAAAATTTTTGCCATTTCCTAACTAATTTCTCTTTAAGGGGGGGGCAAGAAGAACTTCGATCAGAGACGGGCAGAGGCACCAAATATACCTTAACATGGCTTCTGTAAACAAAGGCTCCTAACTATACATGGCAAGCAAAGGCAGGCGAGCCTTCAGCCCACGTCGGTGAGACGGGATCCCACAGGGTGGGCTGCCAAACCTGAACCAGGGGCTGAGAAGATTCCAGCTGCCGGCAGGATCCCTATGCAGGCTGAGAAGAGAGGATGGGTGGGAAGCAAAGACCCCGGTCTGCTACAGGTGAAGGGGCTGCGTGTGCCACCACTGATTTCTCCGTAAACATGAAAAACCCAAGCAAACTACAAAACGGAGGGGGGAGAAAAAGACAACCTCACCCCCGGCGCCGGCTTTGCCGCTGTCCCACCTGCCAGCCCGAGCCGACCCCGGCCGCCCCCAGCACCGCCCGCTGCCGCCCACCCTACCCGGGAGATGGCGAGGGGCTGCTCGAAGTCGCGGCCGCCCACCAGCCGGAAGCCCCAGGGCCCGGGGCCCGAGAGCACGATGCGGTGCGTCCCCATGTGCGCGCTGCACCTCACGGCTGGCTCCGACAGCCCCGCCGCCCGCACCGGCCCGGCCGGGCCCAGCCCGCCCCCAGCCCGCCCCGCCCGCCGGCCCCGCCCCGGCCCGGGGCAGCAGCGCCCGCTCTCCGCCGCCTCCCCGGCTGGGAGCCGCTCCACCGCGGTGCCGGCATCGGGAACCTCGGCGCCCCTCACCCGCTCCCTGCTGGACGGCAGGACAAGGCTCTGGCACGCAGCCGCAGGCAGGAATGCCCCGGTATCCCCCAGGCAAATGCTCTCTAGCCTGGAGCAATGTAAACTCTAAAACCTGACGGGGGCGATGGAAATTAGCGGCAGTTTCCCCGCCAGGGTCGGATGGGTGAGGGAGGAGCCTGGGAAGGGTATTACCTCTCTGCTAATTTATCCCAGGTTCACTGATTTAGACAGCGTTTTGTTTATCTCTAGCCCCTTAAGCACGGTACCACCAACAAAAGGAATTCTTCTATACAAGTTTTTCAGCCAACCTTCTTATCTGTGATTCAGGAAGAATGGTTGTTCCAGTTGCATGTTAAGCCCTCAGTAATCTGATGGTGGACAAGTGGGAGAGGTTGATAACAATAAGGGGCATTGGCATTTACAACTGGAGTGAGGCATTGCTGCTCATTTAGCTAATGAATACAGCTCACCCATAAACAGAACACCAACGAGCTGCAGCTGGGGAGCATGGAGCAGGCAGCAAGCACAGATCATGGAGGTCACCCAGGTACTGGTCCTACAAAACACGGCCACAAATAATCCCATTGCAAGGCACACCCTTCTACATTCCCCTTTTGTGGCTGTGCCCTTTTTCCTACATTAACTTCTCTTCTCACAGGTTATTTCTTTCCAGGGTCTGCGTGTCCAGATTGTTAATCTCATCTCTAGGACAGAGAAGTAGTTATTCCACCAGATCACTGGTGTGGCACTCGTGGCAGTGAATACAGTGACACCGGGAGCTCCTTTGCCCCAGCAGTGTGTGGGATCTCCAGAGGGCTGTTGCACACTACTGGGTCACCTTCCCCTCTCTGGTTGCCCAGCTTCTGCTGTCACTAGCACCTCTACCTTCCTTACCTTAGATTAGGTTAGAGAGTGACATCACTAAATACCAATGTTCAGCAGACACAGATAAGTTTCTCCCCTCCTTATCTAGCCTGCTGTAAACAAAGGCTAGCAGTGCTTGTCATTGCAGCAAAGCCACAGTCAAGCTGCCCTTTGGCTTTTATATAAAGTGACCTGTGAAACAAAAAAGGGCTTGTGTCTGTGTCCTTTCTAAAAACATGTAAAGTAGCCTGAGGCTTTTGCTGTCCAGGTAGTTTGGTTTTAGGATCGGCTTGTTTACAGTTTGACTTCCTAAAATCATTGTGAGTGTAGCCATGACGTTTATCTGTCTGCCAGGCCATCCAGTCACATCATCACAGAGTTTGAATCCGTTGCTCAATTTTGGCATAGTCTGAGATGGAGGTCTTTAACAAGTTAAAACTCCTTGTGAAATACCAGTCTTTAGGGTGAGCACAGTCCTGCACAGGCACCATGCAGGAGCCAAACATGTAGAGGTGCAGGATGCATTTTTTGGGTAGTCCTGTGTTACCGGGCCCCAGTGAGCCCACCCAGGCAGCTCAGCTATTGCCTTCCCTCACTCTTCTCCTTCAGGGACTGTTCTTTTACACAAGGCACACCCAAAAAGTCCCAGGTAGGTGGGAGCAGCTATTAGAAGGCAGTCTTAAAGCTTTTGACCTGAGTCAGAATTAAAAACGCATATGTAAGCCCAACAACAACTGACATCCCTTCCCCCACAGATTGGCATTTTGAGCTTCTTGTGTGACTTAACCTGGGTGGTCTTTTCATCTGAGGTCACAAAGACTCTTTGTAAACCAGTGGACAGAAGTGTACTCCTGACTTCCCAGGTCTGCGTGCATGCCACAGCAACTGTACCCTGACACCATATTACAGTGAGATCTGTGTGTAAAAGCTTCTCCTCTGCTTTTACATCTTGGTTTCTTTAAGCAAAAGCCACAGCCAGCCTACAGCTCAGGAAGGACAGGTGAGTTCAAGCCAAATCACAAGCAGGATCCTCAAGTGCAGGACAGTGGAGAAACCCATGGCAGACACCTACACATCAATATGGATACAAAGCCACAGCAGGGCACTAGTACAAAAGTGCATTGCTACAGGAACAACCAGAGTAGATTTTATTTAATAATTTGTACAAGGAGCACAATAGTAATTCAGTAATTCCATTTATTAATTGCCAAATAGTAATCCACTGCAATAAGAAACAAAAAATCAACACAAAAATAAGTTGCAGTTTGTGTGGATATGTGTGTTGTGTGTGTGTTTGTGTTTAACTTAAACTGGCAAGAGCAAGAACAGAAAATTAACTTTTAAATGAGTATGTTATATACAATCAATATCAACATGTTACTTTGCTGAATAGATTTATTTGGTGTTATCCAATCTTACCAACAGGCCTAAACATTGTTGCAAATAACTGGAGGGCAAACCCAAAGCAGAACAACAAACCCATAAATAAGATGCAGGATTCAAGAGATCTCCTGCAGAAAATAAACAGTGGTGCTTTGTGATATATCTGAAACCCTTTCATAATGAATATTTTGTGCTAAAACTCTTTTTGTGAACATACGTAAAATTCCATCGCTTAAATTAAAGTGGAAAAAAATCCCAACCTTTCACAACTGCCTTTTTTTCCCTCCCTTCACTCAATGTGTTTAAATTATTTCTCTATACAAGGTAAGTACATTGTCTGTACAAAGTCAAATATACATATTTACAGTCAAACTTCTGAGACTTAGAGTCTTCTCTTCCGCTGACCGAGACGGAAGACAAGCCTGCTTGATTTCAAACCCAGGAGCATGGCTAGTTTATCAAAACGTTGCAAGTCGTGCTAACAGTTAGTTGTAGTTTACTCTTAATAAATCTGTATAAAAGCATCAGCATAAAAATAGGCATTTTATATTATTAAATACGGCTTATGACAAAATAGCAATCTAACCCTTTGCTATTTGTACGGCAATTGTAGGAAGCAGAGTCTGATAGAATTGGTTTTGTTTATGCTTTTTCTTAATAACAAAAAGTCTATCAAAAGAGTATTCATAGTGGATTTACAGGCAAGCATACAGCCAAGCCATGTTGTTGGTTTTTTTCCCCCTAAAGGAAATACAAATCTATGTAACTGGTAATAACTGCTGAGAACAGCTTTCCAAATTGATTATACTTTTTTTGTATGACTAAGAGGCAGCCAAAATGCATGTATTTATTGGACCTACCATCAACACTGTAACCAAAATGAAAAAAAAAAGGCACCCTCAGTGATACATTGCTCAGATTTATCAGAGCCTCTAAGATTTAATGCTGGGAAAGAAGTAAAGTCTTCATCCCAAAGCACATACTGGAAAAGGTGTGTGATCCTTTAGGGCCAGCGACAGGGCAAGAGGAGCAGAGAAAGTGAACAGGCGTAGGACTCATAAACAGGATTTGTCCTCACGGGGGTTCTGTATATTGGTTCTATTCTTTGTGCAGAAAAATGTCACAACTAGGCTGATTTCTCTTTAAAAAAACAGGAATTCTGTTCATTTTGCACACAATGCACTCACACACACCCTCCCTGCACAAAAGAAAAACCCTGCAGAGATCAGTAATATGCTATTAAAGGGTTTGGGATTTTTGAGCACTTGCATTATGCTTTGGCTGACTTCTCTGGATTAAACCACCAGTTCCAAACTCCTTTTCCACACAGAGCTCTGCAATTCAATTGTATCAGCTGTCCTCTGCCTCTGCTGGGTCTTAAGATGCATGACATGATGGAAGGGTTTTCTATGGAAATGGAAGGCAGAATCAGGGCAGCAAGCCTGGCCTCCTGAACTGTGCCAACGAAGGTGAGCAGCTGCAGGTCTGAGTACTGCCCCAAAGCACTACCCTATCTCAACACACAAACAAAACCTATACCATGTGCTTCCCTGAAGCCTTCTCAGAGGTAAGTACTCCGTACAAATTAAGATTATCATTAAAACTCTTACTGAGGAAGGGAGAGGAATACACAAAGGCAGCACTGTAAACTAGAAACTGTCTCTTCTTCAGCAAACGAATCACACCCTGACTCCATAGAAGCAGGGCTACACATTCAACTCAATAGTGTACCACTTAACCACATCCTCCTAACACTTCTCATTTCTTGTCTATTACATTCATAAATTGTCTGTTTCTTCACTGTTTAAAAACACCATCTGGAAAGGAATCCCGTCCTTGTCATGGTGGGATCACTGTTATTTTACAGGTACAGAAGCTTCACGTAGTTGCCTGGGAAGGTGCCAAATTGCCTTGTTCTCCTGGATGTACCTGTTGCAAAATAAAACACAAGGAAGACAGAGTAAGATGGAGACATGCAAGGAAGGCTTTGGAGTTTAAAAAGGTAGAGGTGGCAACCTCTTCTGCCTGCAGGCATTGATTCCTAATACTAAATAGGAGCCCTAGTCAAAGAGTCTTTTGGCACAAACCAGATCACAACTCGTTCTGCTACTAATCATCTTTGGTTATCCCCTTTAACAATTAATAAGGTGCTGGTGAAAGCTCCTGGGCCGGTAGGTTAGAAGTCAAACTCCTCTCAGTGTAAATGAGCTTATCTCCCTTAAGAAGAGATGGCAAGCCTAGATATTAAGTGTTGAGATGGAGAACACTGTCCAGACTTGCACTCCTTGAAGGTAAAGGATTTTGCTAAACATGCACTTGAGGCTGGATTTTCAGGGACTGCAACTCCTATCCAGGTGTTGCCTTCACCCCCTACTTGCCACTTTCTGTAACTAGTCATGGCTCCCTGAGCTTTGGAAATGCTACAGAAATCCAGTTTTACTTGGTTCCCTCTGTTGCTCTGCCATCTGTGTAAACAAGAAGGATCAGGATGAAGAGAGCAATGGAGATGCTAAGATAAAGGAAGTACTAGAGACCTAGCAAAGAAAACAAAACTCCAACACCTTGCAACCTAATTTTAACGTTCTTGGAGGGAAAAGATGGAAAATTGTGGAAAATTTTAAGTCAATTTTTTTCACTATTTTGACCCCACAAATGAAAGCAACTTCCAGACACTCTGCAAAACTGCTTATCCCAAATAGCTCTGCTGACAGGCAAGTGTCATACTCACCCACAAACCAGCCATCATCACATTTCTCCATGACATCAACAATGTCACCATCCCTCAGTTCCAGCTCATCATCATTCTGAGGAGTGTAGCTGTAGAGGGCTTGGTAGCTAACTCTAAAATCCAGAAAGATACTACATGTTAGCCACTGGATTTCTTTAACATCCCTTCAGGAGATGTTCCCCTTCCCCTAATTCTTATTACATATTGTTGAATGCAGTCTGGATCTGTGTCTGCCTTTTGACAGGTGGAAGCCAACGGCATTGAACTCACTGTTGTCAAAAGGTCATGGTAGTAAAAAGTGTCATGCCTACATGTATAGGATATGTGGAGAGCTGCTCCCTTTCTGCCATAGTTGTCTTTTTGTAGTTGTCTGCACAACCAACCAGAGTCTTCCTAACGTGTAGCACCTGGACAGTGTCCAACTGCAGACACCCTACTGAGTGCAAGCCAAAACCTGGATACACTCATTCCAGGGCTACATGAGACAGCTGTTCCCTTGCCCAGGTACACTGGCAGAGCCATAATTGACCAAATGGCAGAGAAAAGAACTTTAGAAAAAGGTATTGCCTATGCTACTGCACTAAGGTTGCTGGATAAATCATGGCTGAAGAGGTATGGTAGAAACAAAACCCAAGGCTGAATCCTGCCCTGAGATGTCACCTGTACCTGTATTCATTGGAAAGGATCCTTATGGAGTGGAAACAATCTTTGGGCAAATTTAGGGAGGCTTGGGTGCCCTGCCTATGGAGCATGACAATAGAGCTGATGTGAGATGTTCCCACTCTGCATAAAGCAAAGGCTCCTTTCACAAGCCAACTGCTGAGAGCATCAGACCCCAGCACAGTGCAGGCTGCTATTCCCAAAACATCAGTGTAAGGCCCCACCAAACTTAGAGGCAGCTCCACTGAACAGCTTTAAAAATCTCTCAGCTACCAATCCACCTGTGGAACTGGTCAGCAATGCACTGAGTAGCTTTGGTGTTGGGACTCACACCGTACTGTGAGGAGCTAAGAATCCACGTCATGTGATCATGTATAGCCAGTGGATATTAACTTGCTGCCAGCTTCAGGATACAAAGACACTGAGACAGTCTCTGTAATGGAGACCCAGTCCAGGATCACGATGTCATTGTTTCAGCTGACATTTTAATATTCAAATTCATGTTCAATTCTAACTTAATTATAATTGATTCAATAGAATTCAATTCTAATTTCTTCTGAAACACAGAGAGCTCTCATACCTCCCTATCTTCACCGCCAGTCAAAAATATGGGCCCTGGAAGAGATGGGAGCCAAAAGAACTTACATGTCTCGTGGTGTTTGACTTCGCTCAGGGCTGGCTCCTTGCTGCTGTGCTTGAGGTTGCTGAGAAATGATGAGAGATGATTTATGGTCATTAGAGGTCACCTTGTGGCGAGAGTCAAGAGGCTGAGAAATAGTACTGCAGTAATGAACAGACTTTTCTGCAATGTTTATGATTTCATTGCAAACAGCTTCCTGTGTGGTAGGCAGCATTGACATCCAAGAACACCCAAAGGATAGTCAACAGGGGGAAGGGAGGGGAAAATATAGATAAGAAGAGATGGGACATTCCAGTTGCAGCATATAAGTCCAGTAAAAAAAAAACAAAAAAAAAAAACCAAAAAAAAAAAGGAGTTGTAGATCCAGGTAAATATCCAGGTAGTGGAGTGCAGAAGGGATCCAGATGTAAGCATGGAAAAACAGGCAAGACACAGAAGAATTTGGCATTTAGTTTGAAGATTTGTAACATACATTTACACATATCTTTAAAAGCAGCAGCATAAGAGGTTGCAATTAGTTATGCAGTGGCACCATTCCAAACGCTATGAAGTCAGTTCAAGAATGCAAGGTGAGGCTGAGCTGCTCCATTCATGCACTTGGCTTCATTTAACTTATACCCAGGGTCTGGCAGCACAATTAGACCAACTTCTCATTGGCTGTCATAGTTTTCCTAATTGTTAAATTCACTTTCTTCTGTTGCAAACAAGCAATATATGCAAAGAGATAAATATGTACCTACTTTGCAACTAAAAATAGTGCTGGCATTTTATCTCTTACTGAGGTGTTACTGTCTGGGTGAAGAGTGTCTAGGACTACACATCTGAGTTAAACAGGGGCCTTACCACATAGCTCTTTTCAGACTCTGTGAGATCTGGTCCAGCTCTCAATGAATGGTGGGAAGGCTGTGTGATCACCAAGCAAATGATAAGGAAGACATTTTAGCAGATGTTATATTGGTCAGAATTTTAAAAATGTAAATGGAGTGCAGACAACAAAAGAAAATGAACAACTCTCCCCTCCCCACCCCAACACCATACTTTTTGGACAGCGAGATCCTTCATTTACACAAGAGACATTGAGGCTACAGTAACACAACAGCACTGCAGCACACAGAATGCTGCCAGGGAAAGGTGACAGCAAAACAGAAGCTAGGGTAGGGAATCAGAGTGGAAGGTTATGGACACTGCTACAGCCAGAAATGGTACCACAGTATCACACTGCATTCCTGTAAGGGAAAAAGAACACAGACAGGAACACATACTTGGGAGCATCAAAATTGAAAGGCCAAAAGCATGGTGGAAGGCACCTGTTGCTATTTCTAGAAAAGCCCTCGACAACTTTGACACAGCAACTTGGTTTCTTTTTAAAAAAAAATACAACAGCTCAGGTCCTCAGAAGGCACAATGTCGTGTAGCCCCAACAAAATCACTCTACCCTGTACCAAGCAAGGATCTGAAATGTTTGATTAATTCCCACAACAAGGCAGAGCTGCAGGTCAGAGGAGGCCCGGACTGAAAAGCCCAACTCCAAACACCAGCACCAGTGAAGCTGCTGGACTCTGCCCTGCCTCACTCCCTAGTCACAACCCTTCACAGGGACCATGTGTTCCAGGACACATAAAAGGAAATCGGTGTTTGAGGCTGGAGGTTTTATAGGGAAGGGGAAGATCACTGAAAAAGCCATACAGGTATCCACAGCCTGGTTTTGCACATTTTTCCATATTCAAACGCCCACTGAAAGCAGGGTGCATGCTGTGAGCAAACAGCATGAATGTCTGAGCTAGTGTAGTGCCTGCAGGGCTGCATGGCAAAGCGGATTGAGATGGCCATACAATACAATACAATTTTCAAACTAAATTTCACAGGCCTCAATTTTAAGCTTTGTGCCCTCCCCTTTATGCACCTCAGCAGTGTCCTCCAGTAAAAAACCTGCTTTTTCATGGCACACTGAGACAGAGCAGAAGCAGAGAGATCTGTAACACCTTCAGCACAGGCATGCTCCAAGACTTTGGAGAAGTGCAGGGTGATGAGCTCATTCCTCTCAAAGCTCCACTCAACCACATCTTGGACATCTGGAGCTGTGCCCGTCACTGTATTAAAGCAAACCATCTCTTTTCTCGAGGACTGTGACCCACTCTAGGCCAACCCAGCCCCACAGCAACTCCTTTGTAGTCAGCTCTACTGTCTGGCGCTGGAATCTGGGATCACTGCCCTATGAAACAATGCTCTGTTACCATGTATATTTCTAGAGAAAGAAGCTTAAATGTAAGTTCAATGTACTAATTGCAGTGGAATTTGCATTCAAAGCATTTACTGTGGAGCCTGAAATCCTCACAGGACTCCTGGAAGTCCCTCCTGCCTATCATCAGCCCTGAAAGGCAAATGAAAAAATAACACATTTAAAGTTCATACTGTGCAGACCAACTGGATATAGTGCATCAAATCTGATGAGACCAGAGCTAGCTCAGGTGATTAAGTAGCTGGAAAAAGCACTTTCCAGGCTGAGGCAGCTGTAAGAATGTTTTAGGGTGTTGTTTTTTTTTTAAATTCAAGAAAGTGCTTCTCTGTTCCATACCAATAAATTCACTGCTGAAATTGCTCCATGAGCTCCTAAGACCACATGGTCTATTTCCCATTGATTACTTGTGACCTCCTTGTGCAGCTTTTCCTCCTAAAAGCATTAATATCTTGAATTAAATTAGTTATTTGAAAGCTAAAAAATTGACACTGCCTCTGAATGTTCCACAGTGCAGGTTTCTATGTGTATTACCAGGAGGTGCAGCATCAGAATCCTGGTCACATTGACTTTCCTGGCAGGATCCTCATGGGACTGCCATTTAGTAGCTGACAAGACACATGAAAAGTGGATCCCCTCTGGCCTCTGCTCCAGAGATCCATGCAGCTCCTACCAAAGCACTAACTCCCAGGGCTTCAGCAGAGCCCTGCAGTGAGGTGGTGAAACACCCCACAGTTAGCAACTATGCAGTATTAGCTAAACAGGATGAAAAACTGACCAGAGCAGATCCCATGATTTTGGACTGTAAATGTATCACTTCACTAATGTAAATAAGTGACCCTGATAGCATGATCTATGTGGCTTTTTAATTTTTTTTTTTTTAAATCAACCAACCAAACCCAACATTATTCTTTCAGGGAAGAAAGAGATTAAAGGGAGAAAAGAAGTGTTATAGGTCCAAATGCTCTTCAAACGTGGGTTTAGACAGTCCATGTACTACCTACAGTGGTGGCTCCCTTGTGCTAGAGGTGGTTGAGGAATTGGGAAGTGTAAGCTCCAAAGTATAAAAGACTTCCCCCAAAACACTGAGCCAGCCCTGTAAGTGCTGAGGGTAAGGCCCTAAAAGTGACCAAGTATTCACAGCAACTTCTACCTGCTCAGCCACACTACGTGCTTTGTAAAGACTAATTGAATAAACTTAAGTGCTTAAGTCTCTATGTCTCCATGTCTACAGACTGTGTATACAAATATGCAGTCCAGTCAGTCTCAAAGCACAGCTGGCCAGTGTTTCCACCTCATATGGAGTTTGGAGATGGACCTAAAGAGCGCCACAAGTTTGTAAAATTACCATTAAAAAGTTCTACATTAGGAGTCTAGAAAAGCTCTAAGACAGCTTTTAAATGTTAGGAAGAAAGACGCTGGGACTGCTCAACAGTGCTCTCCCTGCTCCTAGTGAAGTTCAGTGCATCTATCCACTGCAGCTCTTGTTTATGTGTCTTCCATCCGTTTCAGGGGGGAGTTAAAGAACTGCATAAGCAAAGACAAAGCTAAACAGAACAGAGTAATAGACACACAAGACAAACAAACAAATTGGTGTTCCCTCAAAGGAGGGCACAAAGAACCAAGAGCAGGGAGGCCTCCCCAGCCCAGGAGAAACAAAAGGAAAAGCCCTGCACACACCAAGCCCAGCTCTGGTGAAAGCAAATGGAAATCCAGCTGAAGAGCTCTCACAACGAACACTGAAAAGGCTGCAGAGTGGAGCAGCCTGACCTGAAGGCTGTCATCCCTGACCCTGGATCAGAAGTTGGAGGATGTGTCTACAGCAGAAAAAGAGATTTCCCTTGGAAAACAGTTACCAATACCTGCTGCAGGCTGGCCAGTTCTGCCTTAGACAGCAAGCACTCGGCAGAAACATTGCCATGCTGAATCTGTGGAGCAACAGAAAACCACTGGAGGAGGTAAAAGCTGACCATGAATACGGTGCAAAGCAAGGAACCCGTTGGTCTGTGCTGGAGAACATGGGGTCTGAACCCCCACCTCATATGCTCCCCTTTCTACCAGCCAAAAGCAGGTGAATTTACCACTCTGACAGAGTGGCTCTATACAAGTGCAAAGGAGCAGATGGGTCCCACCAACATCCCTCATGTTGCTGATACAGGGATAGCAATCCTGTCCTTGTCCAGCCAATCCTGCCTTCCCCCCCCCACAGCCACAGTCCAACCCCAGGGCTAAAGCCACTGCACTGCTCACTCTCTTGCTGGCACCACTGCTGACTGTCACTGTGCTAATAGGATCTCTGAGTAGAACAGGAATTAGAGTGGAAAATTCCTGCAGGTCCCCTGAAATAAATTAATTTGATAGATTATATTAATATGTATTAATGACATATTTTACTATAGTACTGAAACAAGTTATCTGTAAGTTATACTTGAAATACCTTCACATGCTGTGAGGTAATTATATTTTCTTTTTAGTTCAGACTGTGAAAGCAAGCAAAAGGAAACTTCAGAAAAGTTTAAAGAGGCAAGGCAATTTCTATTTTTACTTAATGTAACAAGTAAGAACACAGGCCTTATACCAGTCCTATACCAAAGGGTCTTGAACCTGCAAATAACCCTGGGTCAGAATTTCATAACTGGAGAGGTTATCCACAATGAGGAAAAAAACCTAAAATTCAAAATCATAAAGTATCTCAAACACCAGAGATGGACACTAATGGAAGGAAACCACAAATGCAATGTCTCATTTCCATGTCTGCTAAGTGCTTTTCTTATTTGATTAAAATCAGTTGAGAGGTACAGATTTTTGAAGGGCCTCCAGGGTATACCTGAAGTTCGGCTGAAACCATCAGCCTCTGTATGGATTACTCAGATAATGAGAAGCCATTTGCAGATATAAATACCACTCCTGCTCCCTAAACAACTGTAGACCTAGAGCTGAAAAGGAGGTCAAGGCTACTGCTAATGTCACACACAGTTTTAACTTGACACTGACAATGCTCTGATTGTCAAGGAATATAAAATATAAATATTGACTTTGACTCCAAAGAAAGGCCACGGGGTCTTATTACAACCAGGTGGAACACCCAAAATAGAACTGCATGCTAATCATCACTGGAGAGAAACATCTTTGTCTAAACGTGTCTCTTTGCTCCTGCTCTTTTGTATCACGTATCCAGTGCAAGCACCAGCAGGACCAAGCAGATCAGAGCTCAGGAGAAAGGTCAACACAGGAAACTTCTATGAATTTTTAACATGAAGCAGAATATTATTCTATTGGATTCAGATATTGAAAGAGAAGCAAGAGGTGGTTGTTCAGTAAAAAGTTGTGCAAGCTTCAGGTGGAAGAAAACGAGTAAGAATAATAAGAAAATTTCAGGGTTTAAGCTGTGCCTCTCTCTTAATCTAATCAAGAAAGTAAGTAACATTGGCAACTACTTCCCAAATTCATCCTGCATGAGCAGCTTGCCTGGTTCACTGATCAAGCCGAAGACTGCTTCCCCAATACCCATCACGACAAACTCAGTTCAGTTTTTGCTAATTGTAAACTTTCTGTTTCAAATATTGCCATCTTGTGGAAGCTGCCTCGAAGGACGGATGAGGCACCAGCAGATGTAAGCATTGCTCATTCCCACACTCTTGGGCATCCCCAGCCACAGTGCTGAGGCTGGGCTTTGCTGCACAGACCCTACTGCATAACTTTTTAAAAACGTTTGTAGCCCTCAGCAATAGAGCTAAGAACCTCTGAATCCTACCTGAGAAGACCAGAGCAGGCCCCTGGTATTGTGGATACCAAGTTGTGGTAAATGCCTTATCCCCAGCTCTGAGATGCTCAAACCTTGAATCCTAATATCAGGTGGTTAAGCAATACCTGAATCAAATTTTCGTGTGCTACACCATTCCTACTAAGAAGGGTACCAACACTGTCTTATAGTGCAATCAAGCTATAGGAGCTCAACGTCAGAACTAAGCAAGCTCTGAGTTAATCTTTTGGAAGAACTGATAAACAGATCCTCAGCTGGCACAAACAAGCAGAAACCTAGACTTGATCTATGTAGATTTGCAGCAGCTGAAGATTTTGCCCATGCCTGCCCTGCTGCACAGCCTGGAAGTAATTTTTCTTTTTTTTTAATAAAAATTCTAAATTAGTGGAAAATTATCTCACCTGTGTAATCAATGAGTGGCTAAATAAGCATACGACAAAACAATGGCATGGCATGGAAACAACTCTAAGTAATGGAAGAGTAATCAGCAAAGATGATTACCTGTGGCTTATTGACTCTGCGTGTAAGTCTGGGAGGTGGCTGTGTTGTGACAGTGGAGGAAGAGAGGGTAGAGGAAGAGAGAGGAGCAGATGAAGAGAATACTTTTGAGTCTGCAGTCTTTTAAAGAAAAGAAAAATTGGTCAGCTTGGCACATACTGTCTTATCACAATCACTGCTAGTGATAAGATCATCTACTATCTAGTAAATTTGAAGCACACACAGCAACAGTAACTCCATGCAAGGACAAGTGCAGTTTCCAGTTGGTTTGTCAGAGCTGACTACCTCACTCTGTTTTAACATGCAGGTTAAGTCTAAAAAATGCTACTAAAATATATCTGGATGGTAAACAGTACAGTCTTGACACATCTCCCAGAAGACTGGTTATAATTCAAGCAGAAATCAAATTATTTGTCATAAGTTTTCCCAGTGTGAAACATGTCATCTTGGAAACCCTGTTTTCTCATTATTTAATGTTGGCTAGATGGGGTATGTCATGGAAGCTATTGCAGTGCATCCAAGACATTATTTAGAATGCTATGATTTCAAATTCTCCAAACTTACACTCATTGGGGTACTGTAATGTAATTGGGCTGGCTCTATCACACAATGGGCCCCAGGGCAACGAGGAGCTGCAAAGTCAAGCATACATCCTATACAAAGACTGAGGGCTGAAGATATGTTGTAGAAGCTGCTCGAGAGTTCCCACTGTGCTTCCTCTATTTGTAACATACAGCTACATATAACTAAAAACTCTAGGGGGAAAGCATCACTAGGTCTAATTCTCATTTGTGGCTAGAGCCGTTCATATAATTTTAGAACTGCAAAGGTAATAACTTCCTCTCAATACATAGATAACAGTCAAGACTCCCTTAGTCATGCACATCCCAGACTAAGGTTCACTAAACCATAGGCTCCAGGATCAACACTCCAGGGGACACTTTTTGTGATTCTAGGAGCCAGGCTTATGTTTAAAGTGCTTTTCAGTCCTTGGCTTTAAGAAAAACAAATTTTATAACCAAAAATTATTCACTGCACACTGTAAAATTTCTGATTCACAAGAAATTGCCTGTATTCTACACAGTGGGCCTGTGTGATGCTTTCATCTGACACATCTGGTAACAGCCACTATGTGTGATAATCACCTCATTAGATTAGACTGATTGTGTCAGTCCTGTGTTATCTATTCTAAAATAATTTCCTGTACACTGCTCTGCTCTTGAGCTTCCAAAACTTTTTGATCTCCTATCAAGTGAATGCCACTGGTGACCCCTGAAAAAATGTCTTAGGATCATCAAAATGACATGTGGCAGCCACTGGCTCTGCTTTGCCAGCAGAGCAGCACAAACCTCAACCCACCAGTTAAACAAAATCAGCGATTCAGAGCAGCACACACACATGCAGGAGAAGTACCTTCTTTTCCCCGCTTTGAAACTTTCCCGTATCACCTTTCCTCATGTCTCTTTTTTCTGTTTTACCTCCCTGAACAATAGCCATGAGCTCCTGACACAACTGGTTGTCCTCAGAGGAACCCACAGGTCTCCTTTCTGGGCTTGCACGCATGTCTAGCTGGGATGGTTTCAGGCAGCGCTCAACAGAGATCTTGGGGACAGCATGAGCACTCTGCTCAGCGTGGCTGCTGCCCTCTCCTGTCTTTTGGAGCCAGGCTTGGCTGGCACTGGTGTCACGCTGCTCTGCGAGGATGCTTTCAGGGCTCTCCACTGCCCAGTGAGAGGAGTTAGAGTAAGTCACGCTGGGAGAAGGGGAGTCAACAAACTTTTCTTCGCTTTGTGGAGTGGCCTGGTAGAAACTGCGGGCAGAGGATTGAGGTCTGGATGAGGAAGAGGGCAAAGGGGATTTAATGGACCTGGGAGTCGAGGAGCCAGAGAGATGAGAATGGTGGAGGCTGACTGTGGGGGAAGGGCTGGCTGCAGCAGAAGGCGAGAGATAGTCAGTGTGAGAGAGGGAGGCTTCAGGCGGAGGAGGCAATGGAGGAGTTATGGCAGGAGTGGTGCTGGGAGACACTCCCACGGTCAGAGCAATCCACTCGGATGTGACCGCCTGCACCTCTGGAGACAAAGCGCGGCGCGCAAAAGGCAAAGGCGGAGGAGTTGGAGTATGGAGCAGCTCAGAGCTGGGAGACTTGAAGGAGACAAAAGCAGGAGAGAAAAAGAAAGAAATGAACAAAAAAATAATAAAGGAAATACAAAACCAAGCAAAAGTAAAAGGAGAGAAAGAGCAAGTGTGGAAAGAAGCAGATCTGTGACCATATGCGTAAGTTTTCTACAGATGCTGTGCTCTGTTGGAGAACATGCTGTTCACAGCTACTCCACAGAGTCCAGCCTGTATCTGTGCTGCTAATACCTTCCTCCAGCCTTTGCCAGGATCCCAGACACAAAACACCTTGTGGCCTCTGACTTCTTACCATAAGCCCTAAGTCCTTCAGGGAGCGGTTGAAGCCACCATCATGACGGCAGAATGCAGCATTTGACTGGCCTGGAAGCAATAGCTGGGGACCTAGCAACTCACACTGCGGATCCAGCCAGAATTCATTGCTGCAATGAACTCTGACTTTATCCAACTCTAGCATGAGCAATGTCTGCTCCTCAGGATACACACATTGCAGAAGCTGCACAGGAGAAAGGGATCAAAAAAGCCACCTGTGGCTATTTGCTCTTCAGATCACTAAAACAGGTCCTGTGTTTATATGGGCAGAACACACTACCAAGTCCTGCCCTTAGCTTTTACCACCAGCAGCACTGGTGAGAACAGCTATATTAGCACTGGTCAGACTGTTTCTCAGTCGTCAGCTAAGTCAGGCAAAAAACTAGGGGGAGTACTGATTTTGTAGGGGAGGAATCAAAAGAATTGCAAAGGAAACTAAAAAACTGTGGATATGATCCCTTCCACCAAAGGAAGAAGCTTTCAGGAAGCTTGTGGAAGATAGGCCACATCTATGGAGAGGCTGCCAAGCTCACGGAAAAGCTCAGCTGACATCTACTTTGACTGAGAATCCCAAACAAGCAACAAGATTTTCCTCTTTATGCAGTGGCTAAGAGTAAAACCACTCCTTTTAGGTAAGATCCAGACAGACAACAGGCATGAGTCATGGCATTTTTTTCCTAACCTTTCTGTACCATATATCCCTTCCTCCCAATCCCAATTCTCCATTTATATTTCTTGCAGTCTTGACCTTGTCTTAGTCCCATGGTTGAGAGGGAGATGCACCTTGTGGCCATGACCCAGACATGTATGCTGTCCTTCCTCTGGCATGAGTATTTGCAGGATGGGAGCAAAACAAAGGGATTTAGAGACTCACTATCTCCCTGATAAGTTTGCCATGGCAAACATTCTGGTATTCCCATATAATTACCTGCTGCCATTTTGATTTCTGCTTTGAACTGCACTATGGTTTATAGTGAATCTAATATTCATGGAAGATCCCAGACTGACCTGCTCTCAAAATGTGAGTTCATTTAGCAGCAGTTTCAAATAATACAGGCTGCTCTCCTGACTCTGTCTCCAGAAACCTTGATCATGAGTTAGATCCTACAGGGGCAGGTATACAGCTTAATTCAAGCTGACTGGGATCAATATAATGACTCTTACAAACCACAGCACTTCTTAAAACCTTACAGACTATGACATTTCTAATGTAAAACTCCCCTCATCACAGTAAAGGTGTGTGAAGTATAAACACATAATCAGGAGAAGCTGGACCACTAATTCATTCAATCTCTGGCAGTGAAATTTAATCCCATGGCTGTGAACTGTGGCCCTTTCAACCTGGCCTGGATTCAAGCTACATATCAGAGATAAAAAGCTGAGTCTCCAAATCCCCAAATGATCCGTTCATTAACCTTTCTGGTAAATGAAACATCACCTTTTCCTGCAGTTGCAGCTTACTGCAGGGAGAGTGTGCTTTTATGGCACCAAATTCTAGTTTTAAATATAGGTTACTTTCAGCTATTGCTTCTTGCACAAGAATAGCACTATCCCAGTGTTTTGCAAGGTGTTGAACCTGGCTGCATCTAGTGGCAGTACCTGTGGTGAAGCTGTCATGCTGCGGCTGGGGGACAGGGACACTGGTGGGTCAGGATAGTCAATGGCATTTTTGACCACCGGCCGTTTGAGAACCTCCACGTAAGTGACAGGGAAGATGCCTTGGCGACTGGTGCCAGAGATTCTTCCTTCATACCAGTTCTCATCCACTCGTCGAATCAACGTGATCCTTTCACCCTGTGGGAAGGAACAGCAACGTGGCTCTGATTTTAACATGTTTCATCATTCCAATGCAGATTACATTTTTAATCTTGGTGCAGCTGACCTAAAATAATTGGTGGTTCTCAGCCTATTTCCAATTATCCTAACCCTAAACTCGGGGTGGGAATTATATTTTTCAGTTCAGAGAAAGAAAAAAATTACAGATCTTCTGGTGCTGACTTGGTCTGTCTGCAGACTCAGTTACACTGACATTTTCAAGACCCTACTTGCTAAATACAGTTCAAAATGGAAACCAGCAGCTTCAGGCTGACCATGAGATTTTCAGGTGTATGAGGTGTATAGAAAATATGCACAGGTCTGCAGTTTAACCTAGGTCTCTCTAAGGTCTCTGCAGTTTTGCTGACAAACTGACTTCCAGAGCCTTAATATACACTGCAAGCCTCACCTTCATATATAATTAAAAGAGAAGATAGAGAAGATCTAATCTGAGCATCAAAACAGAAAGCTGGTTGAGATGGAGAAATTCTGCTACTTCATCTAAATATGGCTGACTTTGCTCTGAACAGCCATTACACAACCCCTTCCCACACCTTCACTCTGCAGTCAGGTTTAGCCAGTCACTTCAATACCACAGAACCTGGCTAGCTCAAGAATTTGGCTTGTAGTATGGGGAAGGTGAATCCAGTTTCCTTCTACTCTAAATCACTACTATCACGTAACTGTGTGCACCTCCACTGAACCTAATCAACCTGGAAAGACCTGTCACCAAGTATCTAATTTGCCAGAGCCAGGTTTGCAGCCCTTGTATTCAAAGTATCTTCTCAGTTCGACCTAAGGAAACAATTGGCACTTCTTGATTTAGCCCACCTGCAACAAAAACTGCAACGCACTACACAATGACTGTGGATTAAAAACATGGGTGATGAGGAGGAATCCTTCCTGAATAGAGAGTTCATTTTACTGGAGCGTTCATCTGGAAATTGCAAGTGCTAAAAAACATCATCATGTCTGGATTCAATTCATCAACACAACAGAAGTCCTACCTTCCTGAAGGACATTTCCACTTGGGTATCCCCATTGAAGTTAAACTTAGCAATAGCATCTCCATATTCCAATACTTGCAATGGTAACGGTTTTTTGGGTTGAGCCTTCTCAGCTGGTGGAAGGAACTAGAATGAACAAACAGAATCAGCTAAGTCTCATACACAAAGCCCATAAACTGGTGTCTGGCAGAAAGGGAGTGGACAAAGAACACCTGCAAGGAAAGCAGCTACCTCTACATATGATCGTGGGAAGATGCCAACTCTGCCATGGTGTTCACCTTCGAGCCAATTCTGGTCAATCTGCTTGTAAATGTAAACAATATCTCCTTTTTGCAGCGGAAGTTCCCTGTTAACAACACAAGCACTCCATCAGAACTTCATTGGAGGAGAACAGATGTGTTCTTTTTCTGTCCAGCAATCCCTAGGTACCAAGGTGTGCATAAGCATGTTGATACACATCATGATCCACCCAAAGCACAAGCTAAATGTTGAGGATTACTCTGTTCATATTGTGATGTGCAAGACCTCTCTTGTTCTTCGGGCATTCTGTCAAAAAAAATTGGCCTGTGAGGGCCCTACTAACCACATACTCTCCAGAAGCAACGGGGTCAAGCTCAAGCCAAATATGACACTGGCTACTTTCCATGTTGGATATGATGAGCAGCCCTCAATTCTTGTTTTGAAACAGTCATGTCACAAGTGCCTTCCAAAGAGACACATGATTTTAATCTGAGCTAGTTTGCTGATTAGATTAACATACTCACATGGCAAAGTTGATCCTGCAATGATTACACTGACGGTCAGCCTGTGGTTGTGCAATCACTGGCCTCAACTCGGCTAAAAATTGGAATTTCAATCCACAGGCTTCAGTGCTAAAATTATGAATGTCTGTGGCTTGAAGAACTGTGGCCAGCTCATACTAGGCTCATAAACTTACTACTTGGGTCCCCAGAGGAAAATAAACAACACAGCCTTTTCTAAGACAATTTTTACAAGCTCTGCTTTACTTTTGTCTGGCACTCTGGTACGTTCTACTCAAGAGACACAACAGCTACGCCTAATCTGCCTCAGTTTTATTATAGGTGCTGAGGAGATGCTATTTAAATTATTACATATCATCGCCTATGGAACATATAAAAAATATTCTCAGGACATTAGCTCATGAGTCAAAAACCAGCAGGTCCTTTACTGAATTCTGTTCTTCTTTCTTCCCTCCCTAGCAATGTTAAAATGAGAGCTTCTCCAGGCTCATGTTGAGAGAGAGGCTTTCCACACCTTCTCTTCACAGCAGTCTTCCCAAAAAAGAACAAGTAGTGCCATAGGATTCATCCAAAGGACCACAACAGGGCTTGGAGGTACAACAATGACATCTGAAACATCTGCTGATGTAGCCATAGACGCCAGGAGAGCAGTGACCACTCTGCACACTTCTATGTCCTGAATCAGGAAAATGCCAAGTCAGGGGCTCACATGCTTAAAGTTAGGCATCTGTTTAACTTCTGCTCATGGGCTATCCTTCCAACAGTGAAAAGGATGTTCCTCTCCTGTGGCTCCACCCACCCACAGGGCAGAGCATTCACTTGTTGCAGTAAAGAATGTAGGTTTGTCCTAAAAATCACGTGGGATAGAGATGCACTAAGAAAGAAGACATTTTCCTAAAGGTCCTTTAGATGCTATGACCTGCAAGGTTCATATTACTTTTCCCTGCCTTACTATGGATAACTTGCTTTGAGAACTGGAAAGACACCCTAAAACGTGAATCCAATTACATGACACTTCAAAAATGCTGCATCATAGGGGAAAAAGGAGGAAGAACACTCCAGGTAGGAACAGCAGGTTGTGTACTCACTTTAGTGTTTGTGCTTTAAAGTCAAACTTGGCTCTAGCAGGTCTCATCTGGAGATTAAAAAAAAAAAGAAGGCAAATCAGTATATTAAATTAATAATTAGGTTTTTAACCATCTTCTGAGGAAAATCACCCAAACTCTTCTAAAGCTAAGATTAGCATGGGGAGGAAATTGAATGCAGGTATTCTGCTACAAGCTTGTGTGCAACTGATACTACAGTCCAAATATGCTGGATGGGCATCTCCCACAAAGTGCCAACTTCTGGCACAGCAGTAATTAGGAGCTCTACAGGAAATGGATTTTACAGCAGTCAACTTTTAATGTGACTAACCCTGATGAATGAAAGCTGCTCCAGTAACTATAGTTACTGGGGCTCCAGGACCAAATATCTCTTGACATTTGAATGGAAAAGCAAAATATACTAGCTCAGAAAAACAGTAGGGTATTATTTGATAAAGCTCTTATTATTACCTGGCTCTGCTGAATACTGCAATGTGACCCATATACTCTGTATCAATTGGCAGGAAAGAGACAAAGGTGAAGAGGAAATATGAAGAAATTAGGTACATGTTTAAAAAAAGTCTTCAGTGGCTAAAGAACCAAAATGTATGTTGACAGCAGGCCAGGGCTCTAAAGATTTACTTGGTTGATTTTCTAACGGCCACAAAATATTCAGACAATTTTAAAGTCATTTTGGTAACAGAGCATAAAATACAAAGCAGTCACATTGATAAGGCTCCAGAGCATTTGAAACTAAAGGGCAGACAGGTGTACTCCATCCACATGGTGAGCACCTCACCCACCACTGCAGTGCAGCTCCTCTGGGGAAACAGAGCTGCTGTCAAGAGCCCAGCAGCAATCCATATGGGGCAGGAAAGACATTTGGCCACAACACCTGGACACAACATCCAGCCCTCCAGAAAAGTGCCTTGGGCTCATGGAAAAAATATGTACCTCTTCCTTTGTCTCTTTCAAAAAGTCCAACCAGGTTGTACGTAGTGAAACATGCAGACACTTTTTTCTGATTGCTTCTAAAGGACATTAAGCATATTTCAAGAGAAGAAACAATTTCTAAATTGTAATATTTCTAAAAAAAACCAAACTATGTGACAGCCGCATGGCCAGGATCAACAAGACATGAAGTTTCTAAGCATAAGGCACAGACAAGAAGACAATGTAGCAATATGATGCAAAAGATGTAGAACGCCTTTGATTGACTAAGTAGCTGATATTTAAAGGCATGCATCACAGGTGTGCACCAGCAATTCTCAGCAGGCATGCTTTAATATATGCAGCTTGGTATAGAGATATCAATTAATTTACCAGGCATAAAAGTCAAAGCAGATCTAAATGAAGCCAGAATGGGAAAGGGGAAGGTGGAAAAAAAAACAACAAATGACATTTCTCTGAAGAGCTAATGTCGGCCTAAAGCACAACATTGTGAGAGGCAATTATTGCTTTGGGTCAAGCAGCAGACTGAGGTAACTAAAACAGACCTCTGACCCAGATTTCCTCTTTGCTGTATCGTCTACATTTAGGAGGTCCCCAAATCGTTCATTAGTGATAAACTGATGGTGCGTTGGAATAACCCCTGTGTGCCTTCTAGCGGCAATATCAGCTTCTTCTTGCTCACGTTTAAGCCGTCTCTGGTCCTCTAAAAGTTTCTGCCATAAAATTGCATAAAATGGGCAGTAAATAATTTAGTTAAAGGCATTCAAAAGCTGCCATAAATGTGACTTAAGATTCATGAGGTCCCTGCAAATAGCTGGAGCTTTACAGTTCAGTATCAAATATTGTTTCTACTAACTAAATAATATCCTTTCGTTTTACAAACACAGAAGGTACATCACCATATGGCATAACTGAAATCTAGCTCATACAGAGGATCTGATCCAAAGCTCATGGAAGTCAATGAGGAGTTTTTCTAAGTTTTGGGCAGGTCTTAGGAGCTTCTAAGAAGATTGCTGATAATGCAGAGAACTGATCCAAACTCCCTTCAACCAAAAAGAAGTATCTCTCCTTGACTTCCAAGAGACCTGAATCAGTCCCATTGAGTTCTGAGACCAAATTCTCCTAAGCCTTGCAAGGAGCTTGGGAGAGTGCCTAACCACATTTAGGTTCTCCCATACTTCTTTTGGGCTCATGTAACACACTTTGTAAGATAAAGTAAATAAACACCTAAGAATTATTTTGGATTTCTAAAGTCTCTAGCACATTAAATGGAAACATACATTCTTGTGTATCTGCACAGAAGGTTTCTTCCACCTTCTGAGGCTGACTGTAGGCTGAAGAGTTCAGCTGTGTGCTAACTCATTTGAAACCAGAAGGTCTTTCTGAATTCAGGTTTTTGATCTTACATGAATTTTCATGCTGGATTTTGGAAGTGGGGGAACTACTAACTTTCACAGGAGAAGACAGCAAAAATTTTTTTTCACATAGGAATAAGAGCAGGTTTTACCTATTTCAAAGCACATATAAACATCATCTGAACTCAGAACGTTGACACTAAAAGCAAAACCCCCAGTCAGGAGAATTTAATTCCACCTTCCAGGAAAGTAAGCACTTTATAACTTCTTTAACTCACTTGAATACACTCAGTATTACAGTATACACTCAGTATAATACACTGCTTAAAAGTCTATGTGGCTTTCCTATTATTTCAGCTTGTCCCACTGTTACCCAGCCATTTCAAAAAGAACTGCTACATTCTGTTGACAACAATTTCAGACACCATAAAGAATTCTAGTTTGCACTGGGGGAAAACTTAACACTTTCTGATAGCTTAAAACATCTTATACTTGCTGTTCAAAACTTGAGGACCCCCACAGGAAAAACAGTGTTTTCACCAGTTTGATTAATACTGACTCAAGTGGCTTGCATGAAGAACCATTACAGATTACCAATCTTTTTCTGCAAGTACTAGGGTGTTGTACCACTTCTCACATACATTTCCAACCTTTTTATATTACTTAAATCCCCTATATGTAATTTTGCAATTGATAAGAACTATCAGGTTTATTTGAAACAAGCTGAACTGGATTATACACATTATACAACAAATCAGTGGCAGAGAGTATTGAAAGTAAAACATACTAGTTACTACTTGTTACTCTAACTTCCAGGACACATAGCCATGGACATATAAGCTGTCCTTATGTAAAGCTGAATGCTGTATTTATTGCTACGCCTGTTGCAAGGCCATAAAGGAGGGCATTACCTCTTTATCATCATGCCGCCTGCGGAGAATTTCTTCTGGAGTTTCCATGTAATCAACTGGTGCAAAATACCTTGGTGATTCTGAATCTACTTCAAAACAACATAAGGAAGTTAAAATACACATGGATTTATCTAACATAACCAGAAAGGAAAAAAATAGATAGTTTTAAACAATTTGTTTCCATTATGCCAGTAAGCATTCTCAATTGCTATTGATGATATTGCCAATCAGATGTTGAAAATTTATCCATTTTCATTTTTTTCCCTTTTGGGCTGTACATGTGAACAAAGATCCAAGAACAGGGAGAAAATAATGATACAGGAAAGAGTAAAGACATAGAACAACTTTGTGAAAAAAAGATTCACTGCCATCATCATGATTTGGCATTTTACTGTTGAGAAAAGTTTAATACACACACGCACACACACACACACACACACACACA